CCTCATATTACTCTCGCTTTCAATTTTGAATTTTTATTCTCACAAAAAATCGAAGATTTATTGGTATGCAGACTACTGCATTATTATAATAATTGTATAAATAACGTCAACCCATTCGTGACTGTGTATTAGACTGGCTAGTTGGACATGTATTGGACAGTGACGTCATTTGTTTACTCTTGAACATCGGCAAAAATCAAACATTTCCGCTATTTTGAGCTCAATTTCAAGGTACTTTTCATCATGACACCAATCAAAATAATCTACATTTCTGTATTATATCTTCCATTCTATCAAATGAGACCAAGAAAACGAGAATACAAACATATATACCATACGATAATACACCACAAAGTCACTGTTTTAAACCAAAAACACAGTCAGAGTTTTTTTTTTTCTCATTGTGCACTGCCTGCTGCAGGATTTTTTTATACTGCGCACACTGACCACACAGACCCATCTTTCTTTCACCAGATTTGAAGGAGCTAGAATTTTGGTGTAGTATTATGGGACTGACACTAAAAGGGTTAAGTAAGTTCAAGCTTCTGAATGGTGGTGGGATGTGTTGTCTGGTACAGGAGTTTGTGATCATCCACACTGCCGCTTTTTGTTGGGTTATTAAAGGTTTAAGGTGATTGACCGTGGTAGATCCCCAAGCACAGGTGAATACAGCCTCTCCTCATTAGCGACGTACTACTCGTTTACCGACAACTCGAACTTATGATGGGCTCTCTGACCAGTATGCATGGCTAAATAATGTATATTAGAGCTGATTCCCTCTATTCTTTTTATTACCTATACAGTACACTACTATATAATTATTCAAAAATATGCCAGAAATGTTATAAATGGTGCAAAGGTAACATTAAAACAATATCAAAGATGGCTGACACAAACCCACTACCATTATAGTATGCTCCTCAGTTAGTGATGAATTCATTTACCGATGAGGTCTTAGGAACAGAACTCCATCATTAAGTGAGGAGAGGCTCTACTGAATTACTGGACAATATGGATAATCTTCTGTTGTACACATTAAACAATAAACAAAACATGTCTGTAAGGCAAAGAATAAAAACTAGAATGCATACACTAATGAAAAGAGTTGGTGAGCTAGCAAAATCAGAAACTTCCACTGCAAGATGAGATGAGCTGATTTGAAAGGTAAGTGCATATATTTATGAGAGATTCATGGCCGAGTAACTCCCATCCTCACAGTTTGGTTTTCTTCCCTAAGAATTCAAATTCTCATTTCCCACTACTCCAAATAATGTACCGAAATCTCAGCCACTCTAAAGCTTAGCATGAAATACTGTATCACTGAATCCCAAAAATAGTCAAATAAATTGCTTTACAGTTTAAGTATCAATGCTTTAGGTATTGCCGTATTTTTTATAAATTTTCACCCTTTTCCTCAACCTGTGAAAGCATTTAAGATATTTTTGAGATATTTTGTAAATCGGATGTAGTTCTGCTTGTTTATCGTTCATGATATAATGGAAAATAACCCCCAAAACACACAAAATTGGCTCCAAACTTCCCCCCCCACACAAAAAAAAAATGGGGGGGGGGCTTGTTTTCCAATATCCAAAAGGAGGCTTTGCTTTTAAACATAACAATTATGTATGTGTTCTAAGTTTTAAAGTGAATGAAAGAGCCAAACTCAAAATATCATTCAGAAAAACACAGATGCCAGTGACTAAAAATCAAGGAAGCAAAACCATAAAAATATCCCTCAACCATGATTACTTAAAAAATCTAATTGCTAGTGCCAAGTTTTAAAATAAAATGCAGTACAGGAACTTTAATAATTATGTAGAATTACAATGTTAGAACAATAATAACAAATATAAAGATATGGATATATAGATTTATGTACTAAAAGAAACATTATCCTTACTGTAATATCAGCAACACACAAGATCATAGTTTTCTGTGGAATATCATCCCGTTCCATAATCTTTCTGAGTACTGGGCGTTCTGCATGGTCAATTTCTCGATCATATCGATACTTGAGTCTAGCAATGACGTTTTGTACTGTCAGTGCTTGGCTAAAAGAAAATCATAAAGATGAATACCAAAGTGCAATATACACAGGTCAATAATAGATGCCTTCACAAGGAGAAAATGAAACAGAAGGAAAGAAAAATATTGTATATGTCAGCTAATGGCTGTAGTCTGCTGATGAGGGCCTTCAGTTAAAGTTGAAATACAGAGTACTCCTCTTAACTTGTATTTCATTTTCTCCATGTGGGTTTACTTGTACAGTACTCTAATAAACATGGTTTAATGTGAGTCGACTACATATACAATACATAAAATTTCAAGAAATGCCTCGCCTGTTTTACAAATGAATGCCATTAAAATCTGTGTATGTTATTATGATTATGGAAGAATTTCAGTGTATTCTTGGCAGTAAACCTTCAACAGCATTTTCTCTTGGACATTTCATATAAAAATTATTTGTAAATACAAAGCTGTATACAGTCCCTCTTCATATCAGAATATTGAAATGCAAGAGGTTCTTTCAATGCAGTAAGTGAAACTCAAGGATATCAAAACAATATACAGTATAGGAAATTAATTCACTCACAAAATTAGTACATACAAGTACAAAGGAACCTCGTTATTCGGCCACTGCATTTATCGGCCGATTCGTATTTTTGCCATTTTTTTGCCGGAAATTTTGCTCCATATTTCAGCCATTGCCTCGTATATTGGTCATATTAGATGCATTAGCCCGCCTCTCCTGCCGGGACACCGCACTTTGGTGAGTCAGTCTCCCTTTTGTCTGTCGGCGAGTGAGCACATACTCAACAAAGTCATCCAAACATTTCCTTAAAATCCACTGTTTTTGGCAGTTTTTATTAAGTGTGACTGTGAAATAAGTCACTATGGGCCCCAAGGAAGTTCCTAGTAAATTTCTTTGTAACACGAAAGTGAGATATATATGATGGGAATTTAAGAGGAAGCAATAGAAAATATGATAGTGGTGTCCAGGTGCTGGAACTTGCCAGGATGTATGGCAAAAAAACAAACCATCAATCACTTCTATTCCTGCAAAGAAAGAACAAATCAAGGAAGCTGATGTGGCAAAAGAGGTAAGACAAAGAGGGTAAAACCTGTTAACGAATAAAAGAGAATCACAAAACAAATGAAGATGTGGAGGTTGTTGGTGTTGTTGTTGTTGTGGATCAGAGAATAACAGTTAGCCAGGAGATGGTGTTTCAGAAGAGACATTCATCTGTGACAAGCAAGCACGAGATGCATGTGAATTCTCGTAAAGAAAAATGCATGGTACTAGTGATGATGTTATTGAATTTAAGGACAGCAGAGGTTGTGATTGATGAGATTTAAGAAGCATAGTGGCCATACACAGTGTTTTAAACCCTTTGAGGGACGACAGGCCCACTCCGAAAACTGTTCTCAGGTCGGCCCAAATTAAAAAAAAAAAGAAAAATTATTTTCTCTTATGGAAAAGATTAGAGAATCTTTTCCCGATCATAAAGACACAAAGTTTGAAATTTGATAGGGAAAACTTACGGAATTTTATGCTTCGCAAAGTTAGCGGTCTCAGCGTGTTTACGCATCCCCCCCCCCCCCCCCCCCCCCCCCTTCTATTTTGCCCACTTTGAGCCCATTTTCGGCCATTCCACTGTACTAGTAGACAAAAAAACATGAATATTTCGCTAGAAACTCATTTTTTCTTCGAATGGGTGCAAGAAACCACCATTTATAAATTCAACTATCCAGTACAGTGGTCAGAATTTAGCAATTTTGCCAATTTCACACAAATTTCAAAAGTGCCATATTTCCGATTACGGTCCAGAATAAACAAGAAAGACATTTGGCACTAAAATGACATTTCTCGAGTCATTAGTCACGTTCAAGGCCCCTCTTATATTCTTTTGCTTTCCACTTTGAATTTTTATTCTCAAAAAAATATAAGATTTACTGTATGCAGACTACTGCATTAGTGTCCACAATGGTATAAATATTATTGGTGCACTTGTGAAAGAATATTAGGGACTCACCAGTTGACGTATTTTACATTTGCCGCTTGGCACGATTTGTGTACTTTTTGAAATTTTGGTAAAAATCGAACATTTCTGCTACTTTGAGCTCAATTTCAAGGCACCTTTCATTTGTAAACCAGTCAAAATCATCTCAATTTCTGTAATATGTCTTCCATTCTATAACATGGACAAGAAAACTAGAATACACAACCTTCAATACCATACGAAAATTACCTGCAAAGTCGCTGATTTATTCCAAAAATGGTCATAGTTTTGTTATTCTCTTATGCACTGTGTGCTGCAGGATTTTTTTTAGGAACTGTGACACACTAACCCCATAGACCCATTCTTTCATATGAAGGCCTACCAGCTTTCTCCCACTAGATTTGAGGGCGCTAGAATTTAGGCGTACTAGTACGTCAAAAACCCTGGGTCGTAAGCCGCATAGTACGTCCGAAAAACCCTCAAAGGGTTAAAGGAATGGTGGAGGCTGCAAGTTTCTGACAAAACAACGCCTCCTCTTCCTCCTCTTCTTCCTCTTCCCCCTAATCTTCCTCCTACTATTCCTCTTCCTCCTCCTCTTTCTCTTATTCCTCTTCCTCCTACTCTTCCTCTTCCTCCTCCTCCTCTTCCCTCTCCTCCTCTCTTCTTCCTCTTCCCCCTACTCTTCCTCCTTCTCCTTCTCCTCCCTCTCCATAGTGTGTAAATTACCAGGAGTCGGCAGCTGTAAAAATGACATATTGTCTCATTACTCACTCCCCCTCCCGCCTGTTCAAAACAATGGGGAAGTCGGATGCTGCTTCCCTTCCTCCATTCTTATTAATTATCTTTCTCCTCATTCTATCTCTTTCTATCTGTCTGTTTATCTCTGTCTTCACAGGTACCATAAATTACAAAGTATACATAGTTATAAATACCTAGGGATAACCCAAGAAAACCCAGACAAAGTGCTATACTCTGCTGAAGATGTGAGTAAAAGTGATTGACGCAGTCTTGTGGCTCCTGAGGAAGAGGAGCTAGCGGAATAGGGGACAGGGAGTTGCCAGAAGGCAAATAGACAGACAGAAATGTTAGTATACCAGCAAAAACAAAGGGAGGGCGATGTTCATCTCATCTTTTGGTCTCGTGCCCACCCTCAATTTACCCTCATCCAAACGTAGCACTTATCAGATGTTATCTCCCCTTATTCTTGTTAATGTCATGGTTGAACTTTATTATTACATATTATTATTATTATTATTATTATTATTATTATTATTATTATTACCTATTATTATTTTATGTATTATTATTTATGTATTATTATTAATATGTATTATTGTTATCAATACGTATTCTTCTTCTTCCTCCTCCTCCTCCTCTCTTCTTCCTCATCCTCCTCCCCTTCTTTTCTTTCCTCCTACCTCCTAACTCCTCTCCTCTGCCTCATCCTCCTCTTGCCTCCTCCTCCTCTTGCTCCTCCTCCTCTGCCTCCTCCTCCTCTGCCTCCTCCTCCTCCTCCATTCTTGGAACAAGTTTGAAGAGCTATGTAGTTCATAAATCACTATCACTATCATCACATGCTCACATCTGAGGTCTGGGATTTTGGAAAAGAGCACTGTGGACTCCCCTACACCCCCCCTTATGTTTGATTCTTTATCTTTTAACTCCATGCTCTTGCCAAGACCCTACGCATGTACTTCTCTTACGTCACCATCTATAATATATTAAAACAACCACGGTGGACATCACACATCCTTGTCTAACGGCCTACTTTTACTGGGGGAATTAATCTCCCTCTTTCCTACATACTCTAACTTGAGCCTCACTATCCTCGTTAAAAACTCTTCCCTGCTTTCAGTAACTACATCCTACACCCATACACCTGCATCATCTTCCACATTGCCCCCAATCCACCCTGTCATATGCCTTTTCCAAATACAATAATGCACAAAGACCTCTTTAGCCTTATCTAAATACTGTTCACTATATGTTTCACTATAAACACCTGGTCCACCCACACCCCCTACCTTTCCTAAAGCCTCCTTGTTCATCTGCTATCCTATTCTCCGTCTTACTCTTAATTCTTTCAATATAAACTCTACCATACACTTTACCAGGTATATCAACAGACTTTCCCCCTATAATTTTTGCACTCTCTTTTGTCCCCTTTGGCCTTTATACAAAGGAACTATGCATGCTCTCTGCCAAATCACTAGGTGCCCTACCTCTTCCAAACATTTATAAAATAATTGCACCAACACTCCAAAACTATATCCCCACCTGCCTTTTAAACATTTCTATCTTCTATCCATCAATCCCAGCTGCCTTACCCCTTTCATTTTACCTACTGCCTCACGAACTTCCCCCACACTCACATACTGGCTCCTCCTCACTCCTACAAGATGTTATTCCTCCTTGCACTTATTCACGAAATCACAGCTTCCCTATCTTCATTCAACATTTAACAATTCCTCAAAATATTCCCTCATCTTCCCAATACCTCTAACTCTCCATTTAATAATTCTCCTCTTCCTATTTTTAAAACTGAAAATCCATTTGTTCTCTACGCTTCCTTAAACTTGTTAACTCTCCCTCAAACTTTTTCTTATTTTCAACAAATTTGTTGATACATCTCACCCACTCTCTCATTTGCTCTCTTTTTACATTGCTTCACCACTCTCTTAAACTCTCTCTTTTTCTCCATATACTCTTCCCTCTTGCATCACTTCTACTTTGTAAAAACTTCTCATATGGCTAACTTTTTCTCCCTTTCTACAATCTTTACATCATCATTCCACAATCGCTCCTCTTCCCTTCCTTCACCCCACTTTCCTGTAAACACAAAATTTTGCTGAACACTCTAACACTACATTTTTAAATCTACCCATTACCTTTTCGACCCCATTGCCTATGCTTCTCATTAGCCCATCTATCCTCCAACAGCTGTTTATATACTTCCCCTAACTGCCTCCTCTTTTAAGGTTTATACAAACCTTCACCTCTTCTTCCCTGATGCTTCTATTTCTTGTATCCATCTACCTTTACTCTCAGTGTAGCTACAACTAGAAGTGATCTGACATATTGTGGCACCTCTATAAACATGTACATCCTGAATTCTACTCAACAGTCTTTGATCTACTATACATAATCCCCCCCCCCTCCCCCCCCCCCCCCCCCCCCCCCCCCCAACAAATTACTGTCATTTCGCCCTACATCATATCTTGTATACTATTTATCCTCTTTTTCTTAAAATACGTATTACTATAACCAAACCCTTTCTATACCAACGTACCCCATTCCCCCCCCCCCGGGCTCCAATTATCATTTACACTGGCACCCCAAACTTACCTACCACACCCTCTCTAAAAGTTTCTCTACTTCAGCATTCACATCACCTACCACAATTACTCTCTCACTTAGTCAAAAGGCTCCTATACATTCACTTAACATCTTCCTAAATCTCTCTCTCCTCCTCTTACATTCCTCAGCTTTCCAGGTGCATACACACTTTATTATGAACCACTTTTCGCATCCAACCTTTACTTTAATCCCAATATTCTTTAATTTACACATTCACCATTCTCTTTCTCCTTCCATAACTGATCCTCCAACATTTTACTGCTACCCGTCCTTTGCTCTAACTCTCTCAGATACTCAGATTTAATCCCATTTATTTCCCCCCACCGAAACTCCCCTACCCCCTTCAGCTTTGTTTTGCTTAGGGCCAGGACATCCAACTTCTTTTCATTCATAACATCAGCAATCATCTGTTTCTTGTCATCTGCACTACATCCACGCACATTCAAGCATCCCAGTTTTATAAAGTTTTTCTTCTCTTTTTTTTAGTAAATGTTACAGGAGAAGGGGGTTACTCTAAATTTACCTCTTAAAAATAATGCCTACAAACAAAGAAAAAAAAAACCTTGCAATTAATTTATTCTAATAAAAGTCACAATCAGTTGATCATACCTGGTGCATAATGACTTCCTTTTTATGCTGAGTTTCCTTCAGAATTCTCAAATGTGCTTTTTCTCCTCTGAATACAGCCCAGCCATTGGAACGCTCAAAATACACCAAAGGATACACCTTGCCAATGTACAGTCGTTTGCCCTACATAAGACCACCATCATGTAGATTGCAACAATATGAGTAGGTAGTGAACCCTATCAGAGGGAAGAAGACCAAGGGCCCGTGACACCACCGAGCTCTTCTGCGTCAGTGTTTGTATGAAGACGCAGACGAAGTGTGCTCGGTGCCTGATCACACAGATGGAAAAAAATTTATTTACTAAAATTAAGCTCTTCATGATCATTTTTGTTTTAATGCTAATTGTTATCTTCCAGTTCATAATACAAGGAGGACTAAAACATTATAGTCCAACTCTTAAATACATGGAGGTTTGTTTCTAGAGACTCCATGATTTCAGAATCCATAAAATGCCATTAAATTTTTTTTCTATAACAGGTGTATAATATATACTGTTTTCAGATATGGACTCATTTGTGCTTCACAGGCCTATCTCTTTAAACATAATATAATCTGCTAACAAAGACATTTATTTTATCCCCATCCCCCCTCCCCCCAAAAAAAGAAACAAATCAATGAGTGTATTTTGAACAAAATTGGGGTTGTATTCAATTTAGGGAACACATGCTATGCCCCCCAAAAAAAGCCCCTTCAGTTAAAACTTTGAATAATCAAATTAGGATAACCACAAAAATTAGGGATTAGACAGGTACAGTATACTACAGTGGATGCTCAACTAATTAACAGGTCATTATCTCCCAAAGATCCTTGTCAAGAAACGTTTGCCCTATTTTCTTACAAACTAAATACCACTGCTTACTACATATACAGGAGGCCCTGTGGGTGTGTGCAACTACTTGCACACACCCACAATTAAAAATGAGGCACTTCGGAAACAAAGTTCTAAAATATGTAACTTATATACTCAATATTTTTATTTTACCATATAGTCCACTTTCCACATCATATGGTGACCCAAGAGGGAAACACATTCACTATCACATATTCAATTTATCTTGCCAGGAATGTTTGGAGATCACAATTCAAATGACCCTCTGAACCAAATCATCCCCACCCACCCTTCAGAGTGCATGTACAACCTCAATATGGTTTAGAAAGACACGTAAGCAAACACTATAACATATTTATTAGAAAACGTTTCGGTCCTGGGACCTTGATCACTTCTAACATACAGAGGTAGGAAGACCATTATATATAGGCGGAGGGAGTGAGTGTGTGTGACGGCACGTGTGCCTGAGGAATGTCATAAGAATATAAGAATGGAGGAACACTGTACGAAGGCCTTATGGCCATGCAAGGTAGATCCTTATTCAAACAACCTCTGCCTATGATGAGGGGCGGGGTAGACGATGAAATCCCACCGTGACTCCTGTGTTGTTGGGTTGGTGCTGCTTAAGTATCATTTTTTTTGATAAGGGACCTACCTCGCATGGGCCAGTAGGCCTTCTACTGTGTCCTCCATTTCTTTCATGTTCTTATGGGACATTCCTCAGTCACGTGCGTCACACCTCACTCTCGCCTATATATAATGTCTTCCTACCTCTATATGTTAGAAGTGATCAAGGTCCAGGACCGAAACGTTTTCTCAATAAATATGTTATAGTGTTTGCTTACGTGTCTTTCTAAACCAGCTTGTCGGTATTTATTACCAGGTTTATACCCACAACCTCAATTATAAACCCAGAACAAAGCATATGAAAAATTTTGGCATGATATCTAACTACATAAAATACTACAGTTAACAAGTATGCTTACCTCCAGTGGATGGCAGGCAGCTGATGACCAGTTAAGCTCTGCTCCATGGATGACAAGTTGGTACCTTATCCCTAACCTTGTCATCCTGTATTATTTGTTGACCTTGCATCTGTCAACATAGCACCTGGAAAAGAACTGAATGTTACTAAGACAATTGGTCACTATTTTTTTTTTTACTTTTTTTCATTAACACACTGGCTGTTTCCCACCAAGGTTAGGGTTGGCCAGAAAAAGAAAAACATTCACCATCATTCACCTCCATCACTATTCTTGCCAGAGGCACACTTACACTACAGTTATAAAAACTGCAACAATAACAACCCTCGTTAAGAGTGCAGGCACTGTACTTCCCATCTCCAGGGACTCAAGTCCAGCTGCCTGGGTTTCCAGAATCCTTCTAAAAATATTACCCTGCTCACACTCAAACAGCACGGTCAAGTCCTAAAAACCATTTGTCTCCATTCACTCCTATCTAACCACGCTCATGCTGGAAGTCCAAGCCCCTCGCACACAAACTCTATATCCCCTCCTCCACCTTTCTAGGCTGATCTCTACCCACCTCCTTCCAATACAGATGTAATACATTCTCAACTGTCGTTCTATTTTGTTCCATCCTCTCTAATGTCAAACCACCTCAACAACCCCTCCTAACCCCTCTGGATAATAGTTTTGATAATCGCACCTCCTCCTAATTTCCAAAACTATGAATTCTCTGCATTATTGTCACACCACACAATGCCCTCGGGACACAACTCACTGCCTCCAGCCTTCTCCTTGTTGCAACATTATCATCCATGCTTCACACCCATGTAAGAGTGTTGATATAACTATACTCTCATACATTCACCCTCCTGATTATCTTTATGTAATATTTAACGTACAATTATGAAACAGGCTGGTTTAACATTAAAACAAAAATGTAAAATATACTGTGAACCCTCCATATAGACCTATATATAAGGGCTTCGGAAATATAAAACAATCTGCTGGGTCAACTGATTCAGAAACAACAAACCAAAATCTGTTGGTTACAGAACTGTCATTACTGTTACAGTCAAGGCCAAAAAACGATCTCTTCTTCATCGACCAACAATTGCCAATTTATGGCCACCCCACTTCCCATTAGCCATAATACAGTGGCCCGGTATACGATTTTTTTCATCCAGAAGTATGTTCAGTGCCAGTACTGGACCGAATTTGTCATAAGAAATATTGTGAAGTAGATTAGTCCATTTCAGACCCCAAACATACACGTACAAACGCACTTACATAAAATACACTTACATAATTGGGCACCTTCGAGGTACATCGTATGGCGGGGGTCTCATGTATAGAGGGCTTACTGTAGTATATTTTTGCCACTGACAAGTTCCAGGGAATATATCCTTCGCTGTATTTTTCCCTGAAACTTAAAGTTTCATAAATATAGCTTTCAATTTTATTATTATACTCCTGTATTCACAAAAAAAGCACTAAACACTTATGTTCATCCAGCAGTGGATGGCTGATCTTGTCAAGCAGATCCGCTGAAAGCTATAATGGAAAATCTCTATAAAACTTGATATTTTTGGCAGTCTAACAGGTTCCTCAGTTCCTTATCACAGCATTATCAAGAGAAAGAACGTTTAATGAAAGCTTTTAAATTATCTCATTCCCTACCTATATTTCTCCCACTCCATCCTATCCTCCTCTTCCCTTTCTTCCCTACCTCTATCCCAATCTCTTCTTCAATATCATTTCTTTCCATCTGCCTTTTTTTCTGCTCTGCCCTTACCTTCTGTGGATTAAGAGTAAAGGAGCTGAAGTACATAGCGTCACAAATGACAGTATGACCCTCTCAACTGCAACATCCCTCATTTCTTCTACAATTTGTAACCACTGTTTTTGCAATGTAAGTTAAAACTAATAATTGGAATATACAGACATAGTATGTTATCTGTGCCTAAATGTATAACATTTTTTTTTTTTTTCAACAAGTAGCGTCTCCCAAGAGGAGGGTGGACCCAAACAAAAGAAAGAAAAATCCCCAAAAGAAAATACTTTCGTCATCATTCATCACTTTCACCACACTTACACATTATCAATGTTTTTGTAGAGGTGCTCAGAATACAACAGCTTAGGAACCATATTACATATAAAGATAACAACTTATCCACTCCACATTGCCAATTCCCAAACCCCTCCTTAAAGTGCGGCATTGTACTTCCATTTCCAGGACTTCAAGTTCCGACTATATGAAAAATAACCGGATTTCCCTGAATCCCTTCACTAAATTATTACCCTGCTCACACTCCAACAGATCGTCAGGTCCCAAGTACCATTCGTTCTCCATTCACTCCTAATCTAACACGCTCCCACGACGCTTGCTGGGGAAGTCCAAGCCCCCTCGGCCACTAAACCTCCTTTACCCCCTTCTCTCTCCAACCCTTTCGAGGACGATCCTCACCCGCCTTCCTTCCCTATAGATTTATATGCTTTCCATGTCATTCTACTTTGATCCATTCTCTCTAAATGACCAAACCACCTCAACAACCCTCTTCTGCCCCTCTGACTAATACTTTTATTAACTCCACACCTTTTCCTAATTTCCACCTCCGAATTTTCTGCATTAATATTTACACCACACATTTGCATTAGACAGGACATCTCCATGCCTCAACCAACCCCCCGTCTCCTCCGCTGCTGCATTTTTCCACCAAGCTTAATCCATATAAGAGTGTTGGTACTACTATACTTTCATACATTCCTTTTTGCCTCCATAGATAATGTTTTTTGACTCCACATATACCTCAACGCACCACTCACTTTTTTCCTTCATCAATTCTATGATTAAACCTCATCCTTCATTAAATCCATCCGCCGACACGTCAACTCCCAAGTATCTGAAAACATTCACTTTCTTCCATACTTCTCCTCCCTAATTTGAAATCCCAATTTTTTCTTTATCTAAATTATTTGAATACCCTCATCACCTTACTCTTTTCTAAGTTCATGTTCAAACTTTCTATCTTCCACACACAATTCCAAACTCATCCACTAACTTTGCAATTTTTCTTTAGAATCTCCCATAAGCACAGTATGTATCATCAGCAAAAAGTAATGTGTCAATTCCCATTTGAATTTTGATTCCCCTAATTAATCCCACCCCTCTCCCGAACACCTAGTATATTACTTCTTTTACAATCCCATCTATAAATATATTAAAAACCATGGTGACATTACACATCCCTGTCTAAGACCTACTTTTACCGGGAATAGTCTCCTCTCTGCTACACACCCTAACCTGAGCCTCACTATCCTCATAAAAAACTCTTTACAACATTTAAGTAACTTACCACCTATTCCATATACTCTGCAACATCTGCCACATTGCTCCTGTTATCCACTTATCATATGCTTTCTAATCCATAAATTGCAATAGAAACTTCCCTCCTTTATCTGAAATACTGTTCACATATAAGCTTCCATGTAAACACATGATCCTTCACATCCCCTACCCACTCTGAAACCTCCTTTTCAGCCGCATCCTACATTCTGTCTTACCTCTGATTCTTTCAATTATAACCTACCGCACATTTCCTGGTATACTCAGTTACCTTATTCCTCTATATGTTTACAATATCTTTTGTTCCCCTTTTCCTTTATATAAAGGGGACTATACATGCTCCTCGCCAATCCCTTAGGTACCTTCCCCTCTTTCATACATTTATTAACAAAAGTACCAACACTCCAACACTATATCCCCTGCTTTAACATTTCTGTCATGATCCTATCAGTTCCAGGTGCTTTACCCCCTTTCATTCTACGAAAGCCTCATGTCCCTCCCACACTTACATTCTGCTCTTCTTCACTCCAAAAAGGATGGTATACCTCCCTGGCAGTGCATGAAATTACCGCCTCCCTTTTCTTCCCTCAACATTTAAAAGTTCCTCAAATTTCTTGCCATCCTACCTAATACCTCCCCTTCCATCTACTGACTCCCCTACTCTGTTTTTAACTGACAATCCATACTTTCCTCCTTAGGCTTTCTTAACTAGTTTAACTCACTCAAAATTTTTTCTGTTATTTTCATTAAAATTCTTGACAGTGCCTCTCCACTTATCATCTGCTCTCCTTTTGCACTCTCTCACCACTCTCTTTACTTTCTTTTACTCTCCAAATACTCTGTCTTCTTTATAACACTTCTGCTTTGTAAAATCCTCTATAAGCTACCTTTTTCTCTTTTTCACACCCTTTTACTTTCAATCATCACCAATCACTCCTCTTTCCTCCTGCCCCCACCCTCCTATAACCACAAACTTCTGCCCCACATTCTAATACTGCATTTTTAAAACTATTCCAACCCTCTTCAACTCCCCCACTACTCATCTTTGCACTAGCCCACCTTTCTGCCAATAGTCGCTTATATCTCACCCGAACTTCCTCCTCCCTTAGTTTATACACTTTCACCTCCCTCTTACTTGTTGTTGCCACCTTCCTCTTTTCCCATCTACCTCTTACTCTAACTGTAGCTACAACTAAATAATGATCCGATATATCAGTTGCCCCTCTATAAGCATGTGTATTACAAGGAAATCTGTTAGTATAGCACCAAAACCCCTATACCTTGTCATGATCCAATAAACATGGAATATGAAAAAACAATTGGTTATAATCATAACCATAATTTTTAAAGGGGTGGACTGGTAAGCCAGTGGAAGGCTTCGATCAGATGACCGAAAGCTCCAAGTGCAGGCCATCGTATGACTGAGACCAGCATCAGGAAACACTTGTCCTGTGTCCTGACAAACCTTACCTAAACTAACCTAATATGGAATATACTGCACATTTTTTTACATATGCTACAAAGGTTAAAGGTCATAGGGTATATACATAAATATAAGGCTGCATAACCAATATGTTAAGTTACAGGAGTTGCAATTCAGAAAGCCATCTGAACTGTGATGTCAGCACACTTATGACGAGTAAATGAATGAAGGGAGAAATTCTCCCTTTCTTGGATCACCCTACCTTGATGGGAGACTGCTGTTGTGTTAAAATATATATAATAACAGTCAAGGTTGAAAAGGCTAACATACCAATGCTGTACCAGCCATCTGTGAGTTCCAGAATGTGTGTATGTCCAGTGGGACTCACTGATCTTATCTCAGTGCCACCAACAAAAGTTCCGCCTTGTTTGTCAAACTGTAAGAAAACAGTAATACATAAAAAAAAAACATTAAATGTACTGTAATTCTCAAAGTAATTCTTTAATGATAATCAGCTAATATAGTTTGCACTGAACTAATACTTACAGCTAACTCACAACTAGGAAAGAAAACTTCTGACTATGTTTAGTCTATCTTTCACCTTACAAAGTCTTGACTTCTTGACTGATTGATAGATGGATGGAAAAATCATACACAAATATTAGTTTTATGGTTTAACTATATTATAAATATTCAGTTATGCAAAAGATAATAAAGGGTTATTAAATGGGAACACTCCTAACAGCACGGTCGTCATAAAAAACACTTTCTTCCACCACTTCTAACATGCTCACACATGCCTGCTGGATGTCCAAGCCCCTTGCTTACAAAATGCTTTACCCCCTCCCTCTAACTTTCCCTATGCTATGGACCCTACCCTGTCTTCGCTCACTATAAAATGTTTACACCTCTAAGTCATCCGATTTGCTCCATTCTCTCTAAGTGTCCAGACACTTGAACAAACCTCACCTCAAACACAAAATTGAAAATTTAATATTTTAGAGAGATCTGAATCAGCAGAAAAAGTCTGTAAAAATCTTCAAAACTGTCAGTTCTAGTTTTTTTCACACGTGTGTGGAACAGATAAAAAAAGGCTAAGGTGGAAAGATCAAATAAAAATAAAAAATAAAATTTTTATGTTTTGCTAAAGGTTATAATGCGTTTTTACTTTCATAATTTCATTGGTCCAAAGAAGGCCACTGTCATGCTGAAGTTTTAGGAGACTTGTCCTAATACTTAAAGGACTAAGCCTAGACAGGTGAAGAGTTGGCAGATTACAAATATTCATATTTTACTCTATTTATTAACCTTGACAGTCGAACCCAAAATCCTAAGGTGTCTCTGTGTCGAAAAATTTAAAAAAAAAAAAAATCTTATGAAAATGGTTTTCACTAGAGAATCTTTTCCCGTGGTAATTGACACAAAAGAACAAAATTTGATGATAAACTACAGGATATTATGACTCTTGCGAAGTTAGCGACCTCGGCGATATTTACGAATCAGCAATTTCGCACACTTTGATCTCTATTTTTGGCTAATTCCATTGTTCCAGTCGACCAAACTCATACCTATTTCTTTAGAACTCCATTTCTTCTATCGATTGAGTACAAGAAACTGCCCATTTACTTATTTCAACTACCCAATAAAGTGGTCAGAAATTTGGAATTTGGCCAATTTCATGCAAATTAAAAAATATGCCAATTTCAAAATAGGGTCCAGAATGAACAAAGCAGACATTCCTGGTTCTAAAATAACATTTTCTCTGTTCATTAGTCATGTCTCCAGGCCCCTCATATTACTCTCGCTTTCAATTTTGAATTTTTATTCTCACAAAAAATCGAAGATTTATTGGTATGCAGACTACTGCATTATTATAATAATTGTATAAATAACGTCAACCCATTCGTGACTGTGTATTAGACTGGCTAGTTGGACATGTATTGGACAGTGACGTCATTTGTTTACTCTTGAACATCGGCAAAAATCAAACATTTCCGCTATTTTGAGCTCAATTTCAAGGTACTTTTCATCATGACACCAATCAAAATAATCTACATTTCTGTATTATATCTTCCATTCTATCAAATGAGACCAAGAAAACGAGAATACAAACATATATACCATACGATAATACACCACAAAGTCACTGTTTTAAACCAAAAACACAGTCAGAGTTTTTTTTTTTCTCATTGTGCACTGCCTGCTGCAGGATTTTTTTATACTGCGCACACTGACCACACAGACCCATCTTTCTTTCACCAGATTTGAGGGAGTCTAGTATTTGTGTAGTATTATGGGACTGACACTAAAAGGGTTAAGTAAGTTCAAGCTTCTGAATGGTGGTGGGATGTGTTGTCTGGTACAGGAGTTTGTGATCATCCACACTGCCGCTTTTTGTTGGGTTATTAAAGGTTTAAGGTGATTGACCGTGGTAGATCCCCAAGCACAGGTGAATACAGCCTCTCCTCATTAGCGACGTACTACTCGTTTACCGACAACTCGAACTTATGATGGGCTCTCTGACCAGTATGCATAGCTAAATAATGTATATTAGAGCTGATTCCCTCTATTCTTTTTATTACATATACAGTACACTACTATATAATTATTCAAAAATATGCCAGAAATGTTATAAATGGTGCAAAGGTAACATTAAAACAATATCAAAGATGGCTGACACAAACCCACTACCATTATAGTATGCTCCTCAGTTAGTGATGAATTCATTTACCGATGAGGTCTTAGGAACAGAACTCCATCATTAAGTGAGGAGAGGCTCTACTGAATTACTGGACAATATGGATAATCTTCTGTTGTACACATTAAACAATAAACAAAACATGTCTGTAAGGCAAAGAATAAAAACAGAATGCATACACTAATGAAAAGAGTTGGTGAGCTAGCAAAATCAGAAACTTCCACTGCAAGATGAGATGAGCTGATTTGAAAGGTAAGTGCATATATTTATGAGAGATTCATGGCCGAGTAACTCCCATCCTCACAGTTTGGTTTTCTTCCCTAAGAATTCAAATTCTCATTTCCCACTACTCCAAATAATGTACCGAAATCTCAGCCACTCTAAAGCTTAGCATGAAATACTGTATCACTGAATCCCAAAAATAGTCAAATAAATTGCTTTACAGTTTAAGTATCAATGCTTTAGGTATTGCCGTATTTTTTATAAATTTTCACCCTTTTCCTCAACCTGTGAAAGCATTTAAGATATTTTTGAGATATTTTGTAAATCGGATGTAGTTCTGCTTGTTTATCGTCATGATATAATGGAAAATAACCCCAAAAACACAGAAAATTGGCTCCAACTTCCCCCCCCACACAAAAAAAAAATGGGGGGGGGGCTTGTTTTCCAATATCCAAAAGGAGGCTTTGCTTTTAAACATAACAATTATGTATGTGTTCTAAGTTTTAAAGTGAATGAAAGAGCCAAACTCAAAATATCATTCAGAAAAACACAGATGCCAGTGACTAAAAATCAAGGAAGGCAAAACCATAAAATATCCCTAAAACCTGATTACTTAAAAAAATCTATATTGCTAGTTCCAAGTTTTAAAATAAAATGCAGTACAGGAACTTTAATAATTATGTAGAATTACAATGTTAGAACAATAATAACAAATATAAAGATATGGATATATAGATTTATGTACTAAAAGAAACATTATCCTTACTGTAATATCAGCAACACACAAGATCATAGTTTTCTGTGGAATATCATCCCGTTCCATAATCTTTCTGAGTACTGGGCGTTCTGCATGGTCAATTTCTCGATCATATCGATACTTGAGTCTAGCAATGACGTTTTGTACTGTCAGTGCTTGGCTAAAAGAAAATCATAAAGATGAATACCAAAGTGCAATATACACAGGTCAATAATAGATGCCTTCACAAGGAGAAAATGAAACAGAAGGAAAGAAAAATATTGTATATGTCAGCTAATGGCTGTAGTCTGCTGATGAGGGCCTTCAGTTAAAGTTGAAATACAGAGTACTCCTCTTAACTTGTATTTCATTTTCTCCATGTGGGTTTACTTGTACAGTACTCTAATAAACATGGTTTAATGTGAGTCGACTACATATACAATACATAAAATTTCAAGAAATGCCTCGCCTGTTTTACAAATGAATGCCATTAAAATCTGTGTATGTTATTATGATTATGGAAGAATTTCAGTGCATTCTTTGCAGTAAACTTAAACAGCATTTTCTCTTGGACATTTCATATAAAAATTATTTGTAAATACAAAGCTGTATACAGTCCCTCTTCATATCAGAATATTGAAATGCAAGAGGTTCTTTCAATGCAGTAAGTGAAACTCAAGGATATCAAAACAATATACAGTATAGGAAATTAATTCACTCACAAAATTAGTACATACAAGTACAAAGGAACCTCGTTATTCGGCCACTGCATTTATCGGCCGATTCGTTTTTTAATTTTTGCCATTTTTTTGCCCCGGAAAATTTGCTCCATATTTAGCCATTGCCTCGTATATTGGTCATATTAGATGCATTAGCCGCCTCTCTGCGGGACACCGCACTTGGTGAGTCAGTCTCCCTTTTGTCTGTCGAGCGAGGTGAGCACATACTCAACAAAGTCATTCCAAACATTTCCTTAAATCCACTGTTTTTGGCAGTTTTTATTAAGTGTGACTGTGAAATAAGTCCACTATGGGCCCCAAGGAAGTTCCTAGTAAATTTCTTTGTAACACGAAAGTGAGATATATATGATGGGAATTTAAGAGGAAGCAATAGAAAATATGATAGTGGTGTCCAGGTGCTGGAACTTGCCAGGATGTATGGCAAAAAAACAAACCATCAATCACTTCTATTCCTGCAAAGAAAGAACAAATCAAGGAAGCTGATGTGGCAAAAGAGGTAAGACAAAGAGGGTAAAACCTGTTAACGAATAAAAGAGAATCACAAAACAAATGAAGATGTGGAGGTTGTTGGTGTTGTTGTTGTTGTGGATCAGAGAATAACAGTTAGCCAGGAGATGGTGTTTCAGAAGAGACATTCATCTGTGACAAGCAAGCACGAGATGCATGTGAATTCTCGTAAAGAAAAATGCATGGTACTAGTGATGATGTTATTGAATTTAAGGACAGCAGAGGTTGTGATTGATGAGATTTAAGAAGCATAGTGGCCATACACAGTGTTTTAAACCCTTTGAGGGACGACAGGCCCACTCCGAAAACTGTTCTCAGGTCGGCCCAAATTAAAAAAAAAAAGAAAAATTATTTTCTCTTATGGAAAAGATTAGAGAATCTTTTCCCGATCATAAAGACACAAAGTTTGAAATTTGATAGGGAAAACTTACGGAATTTTATGCTTCGCAAAGTTAGCGGTCTCAGCGTGTTTACGCATCCCCCCCCCCCCCCCCCCCCCCCCCTTCTATTTTGCCCACTTTGAGCCCATTTTCGGCCATTCCACTGTACTAGTAGACAAAAAAACATGAATATTTCGCTAGAAACTCATTTTTTCTTCGAATGGGTGCAAGAAACCACCATTTATAAATTCAACTATCCAGTACAGTGGTCAGAATTTAGCAATTTTGCCAATTTCACACAAATTTCAAAAGTGCCATATTTCCGATTACGGTCCAGAATAAACAAGAAAGACATTTGGCACTAAAATGACATTTCTCGAGTCATTAGTCACGTTCAAGGCCCCTCTTATATTCTTTTGCTTTCCACTTTGAATTTTTATTCTCAAAAAAATATAAGATTTACTGTATGCAGACTACTGCATTAGTGTCCACAATGGTATAAATATTATTGGTGCACTTGTGAAAGAATATTAGGGACTCACCAGTTGACGTATTTTACATTTGCCGCTTGGCACGATTTGTGTACTTTTTGAAATTTTGGTAAAAATCGAACATTTCTGCTACTTTGAGCTCAATTTCAAGGCACCTTTCATTTGTAAACCAGTCAAAATCATCTCAATTTCTGTAATATGTCTTCCATTCTATAACATGGACAAGAAAACTAGAATACACAACCTTCAATACCATACGAAAATTACCTGCAAAGTCGCTGATTTATTCCAAAAAAATGGTCAAAGTTTTTTTTATTCTCATTATGCACTGTGTGCTGCAGGATTTTTTTTAGACTGTGCACACTAACCCCATAGACCCATTCTTTCATATGAAGGCCTACCAGCTTTCTCCCACTAGATTTGAGGGCGCTAGAATTTAGGCATACTAGTACGTCAAAAACCCTGGGTCGTAAGCCGCACTAGTACGTCCGAAACCCTCAAAGGGTTAAGGAATGGTGAGGCTGCAAGTTCTGACAAACACACGGCCTCCTCTTCCTCCTCTTCTTCCTCTTCCCCCTAATCTTCCTCCTACTATTCCTCTTCCTCCTCCTCTTTCTCTTATTCCTCTTCCTCCTACTCTTCCTCTTCCTCCTCCTCCTCTTCCTCCTCCTCCTCTTCTTCCTCTTCCCCCTACTCTTCCTCCTTCTCCTTCTCCTCCTCCTCCATAGTGTGTAAATTACCAGGAGTCGGCAGCTGTAAAAATGACATATTGTCTCATTACTCACTCCCCCTCCCGCCTGTTCAAAACAATGGGGAAGTCGGATGCTGCTTCCCTTCCTCCATTCTTATTAATTATCTTTCTCCTCATTCTATCTCTTTCTATCTGTCTGTTTATCTCTGTCTTCACAGGTACCATAAATTACAAAGTATACATAGTTATAAATACCTAGGGATAACCCAAGAAAACCCAGACAAAGTGCTATACTCTGCTGAAGATGTGAGTAAAAGTGATTGACGCAGTCTTGTGGCTCCTGAGGAAGAGGAGCTAGCGGAATAGGGGACAGGGAGTTGCCAGAAGGCAAATAGACAGACAGAAATGTTAGTATACCAGCAAAAACAAAGGGAGGGCGATGTTCATCTCATCTTTTGGTCTCGTGCCCACCCTCAATTTACCCTCATCCAAACGTAGCACTTATCAGATGTTATCTCCCCTTATTCTTGTTAATGTCATGGTTGAACTTTATTATTACATATTATTATTATTATTATTATTATTATTATTATTATTATTATTACCTATTATTATTTTATGTATTATTATTTATGTATTATTATTAATATGTATTATTGTTATCAATACGTATTCTTCTTCTTCCTCCTCCTCCTCCTCTCTTCTTCCTCATCCTCCTCCCCTTCTTTTCTTTCCTCCTACCTCCTAACTCCTCTCCTCTGCCTCATCCTCCTCTTGCCTCCTCCTCCTCTTGCTCCTCCTCCTCTGCCTCCTCCTCCTCTGCCTCCTCCTCCTCCTCCATTCTTGGAACAAGTTTGAAGAGCTTGTAGTTCATAATCACTATCACTATCATCCCCAAATTTGCTCACATCTGAGTCTGGGATTTTGGAAAATAGGAGTTTCCTCTTTGATTCTGGTACAACTGAACGTGAACAAGACGGCCCAGCACCAGAGGTGGAAGGCTGTGGGTTGTTTGGGTTTTCCTCACTATTACCCATATTATGGTCATTAGTTTCGGTCAAAACCTCACCAGAACCTTGAAACTCATCTTCACTGTCACTTCCATCTGTATTAGAACTGTCACTGGGGAACAAAAGTGTCCCAATTCGCCGAGGAGTGAGGAACTTCTTACCGCAGGGCACAGTGGACATTGTGTACTATGATGGCATTCCCACAATGCACCACTGGGTCCCAGATTTTTTTCCTACTGCGCACACTCACCACACAGACCCATTCTCTCACATCTAGGCTTATCAGCCTTTTCCTGCGAGATTTGAGGCCGCTAGAATTTATGCGTACTAGTACGTCAAAAACCCCTACGCGTAAGACGTACTAGTACGACCAAAACCCTCAAAGGGTTAAAAAATGTATTTTTTGTGAATATTTCTGGGTGTCTGGAACGGATTAATTGTATTTACATTAATTCTTATGGAAAATATTGCTTCAAATTTAGGCCATTTCGAATTTAAGTCGACCTTCTGGAACAAATTACGGCCGAAAAACGAGGTTCCCTTGTACATGTATAGGCTAACACCAGAAGCAAAGTTTTTCACTTAAATAAAATGCAGAAAAATAATTATGAAAGACAAGGAAAACTGTGAGGCTAAGATATTTTACAAACGGGACTGTCTCACTGTGCATATATGAGACACACATACACACGCATCTCAGGAAGCATGTTAAGATATTGGAGAAAGTGCAGAAGTACACAACAAGGCTTGTTCCTGAGTTAAAGGACATGAGAAAAGAGGCTAATGGAATTGAACCTGATAGTGGAGGTTAAAAGAACCAGGGAAAATGTGTGATAACATTCAAAATACTCAGGGAAACTCATAAATACAGAACTTTTAATCAGTACAATTTTTTTAATAAAAGAAATTGTCAAAATACATAAAACTAAATGAATTTCATGATTAAAATTAATTTCTGAAAGAAAAAACAATAAGGATTACTCTTCAAGATTATTCCTACATCACATGTAGGTTCCATTAAGTGTTGCAAAATAATACCTGATATCCAAACCACAATATTCTGAAGAGCACTGAACCATTTTTTCTTTCTTTTACCATAACAGTGCTGTTTTCTGCCAAGACAGGGTAAGCAAAAGAAGAAAATACAATCACTATCATTCTTTCAATCACTGTCTTACCAGAAGTGTGCTGGCATCACAATTCAGACTACCCTCGATTGCAATTCTACGAGCATTAATTTGTACTAAAATGTATCCATCTGTAATATTTAGTGTGAAATAAACTTGTTAATAGATACAATAAGGCAGATAAAGACAGCAACAAAGACACTTGGCTGCAGGGAAAAAGTAGCTGAATTATTAT